CATTGGTATATTAGTATTCCTGGAACGTCGTGATTTCATTGAATATAAAGCTGAGGGTGGAATTTCACAAGGCCTTATATTTCCTTCAAAATGATGTTTCGGCTTACAATGGCTGCACCAAGATTGATCGAGTATCTCTGCATCATCGCCTGAAAAAAGTAAGAAAATTCAAGAATAATATAAACATTAATATTTATACAAAAATTTAATGATGAATTCAAGGTAATGAATATAAAAATAAATTTAAAAATTAATTAAAAAAGGTAATGATTTTGATTATTTATTAATAAGTAATTACAGTTTATTGTTAATATTACTGTACTTTTTTAAATGTTGCTTGCTTACCAAAACGAGTCGAAAAATTAGGATTATCCTGGAACCTACAATTATTCCTTCTTGAAGTTGATGGTTTCCTGGTTGAGATAGTACCGCAACGGCTACACTTTCTCCTATCAGCAAGTTCTGCCTCCGTAAATGACTTTATTTCTGGTCTTGTCCGTGCTCGGCGACTCGGTTGAGTTAGCGAGGCCATTGTGTCATATTGATCTGTTGAACTCCTTTGCGGAATCCAATTTTGATGATAGCCCATAGATAATCTTCGAGGAGAATTTTTTATTGCTTGAGCCGTATATAGATCTTCTTCCGACAACGTTTCATGGATATCATGCTCATGTGCGTTGTGGTAGTACCTAATCATACAGGCACCTCGCAGAAATTTGACGTATCGATGATAGAATATGTATGATTAAAGAGAATATCAAACCAAAAGCATAATGCAGATAATTTATCATTAAGCTGTTTAATTACAATGTATTCTGTTTAACGTGCGTTTATGTCTCTAATTTCTAGCGATTCATGTTACTTTGTCATGCACAATCCATTTAGTTCTTCATTAGCTTTGAATGGACTGTCCACGCAATAGTGCGATTAAACTAGCATAAATTGAGGAATAATTAGAATTAACTAAATTAGATGAAGCAAGAGAGAGAGCATAGTAAAATATATTTTTATAAGTTTCTGATCTTAGTAAATATAGATAATAAGAAATTATATTTTCTCTAATTAAAAACATTAAACTCATCGGTTATAAAATAAATAATTTTGTAAAACAACTTTTCGTGTTTAAGAATTTATATTACAAACCTTGTTGGTAAATGATAAGCTGGATACAGTTTTGGTACTTGTTGAGAATAACGAATTCTATGTAAATCTTGTTGCTGATTAATCATTCGCATTCGCTGTGCTCGCAACAATGCATCTTTCTTAACTGCATTGCGTTGTATAGCTTGTGTTTCGGCAGGTGCATCAGATTCTTCATCTATTTCATCATCTGCTTCCTGCTCATCGTACTCCTTATTGATGGACTCCTCGACTCTTTTGTCATTTCGAAGAGATCGATTATTCTCCGCTGTAGGAACATTTTATTTTAAGAAATTAAATGCAGTCTCAATAATTATGACTCTTTTAATCATTTTGAATATATATCTAAATATTCTATAAATAAATATAGCTTATTTTATTAAAAAAACGTATTTTTTTCCCAATATTATTTCTCAATGTTATTATTAATCTCTTTTGTGTTTCTTCCATCTTTTGTCTGTTTATAAATGTAATAATAATTAAAATTGCTTAGATCAGTTCTTTCATATTCTTTAAAAAATATGTTTGAACTATTAATAATATATTATGGATTTATTAATATTTTCTTACCAATAATTTTTTAAACGTAATGGAGTTTTATGTAAAAAAAAAAAAGATAAATTAAATAACATTTACATTTTATACCTTCCTCTTCAGCATCTTCTTCTAAATTATCTTCCGTAAAATTTCCTAGTTCGTCATCGATGTATTCTGTATTATTCTCATCTTCTTGTTGAGTCTTATACCGATCTTTGTTTATGACATCAACATTATCAATACGATCTTTATTTCTAGCAGATTTCGTAGTAATCTGTTGGTATCGCTGTGGTACTTCCGCGTGAAGAGCAGAAGATTGTTTCGGATGTGTTGAGTATGGATAAGCGTTATGTTTTAAAGTCTTGTAAGAATTTGCAGAAGAATAATAGTTCACCGATTCTGGCATAGGACTTTGTTGACGTCTAAAAATCATGAAACTGCATTTGATTCACTTTTATAAGATTTTATCTATTTATGAGAGATATTGAATTTTTTTCCTGGCGTTATATGCCAAAAAGAGTTAAAATTATACTTTTGATAAAGTTATGCATTTAAGTTCAAAATTTAACATAAATTTAAGTATTAAATCTTTGAATAATGTATGAGTTATATTCGTTGCAAAAATTTTTAATTAAATATTTTCAATATGTATGTAAAAGGATTTATATGGGACATTTCTTTAAGTTTTGTCATTTATTAAAAATTACCTGGCACTCTTATCAAGGGTATCTTGATTGCTTCTTTGTGTATATTTCCAATATGCATCAGATGGAACTCTACCATTAATGGTTTGATTAGCAGACCACGTAGATGTATGTGGTGAAATGTACTTTGTCTTAGATCTTCCAATTTGCTCCATTCTCATCAGAAAGCTTGTATAGATATTTAAACGTTGTCAAAAATGAACTTTTACATTTGTAATTTCTTAATTCTCAAACATTTTATTCCACCTTCTTCAAATTTTGTTCCTCATTGTTTATTATATTTCTATTTTCACTGTTTGCTTTTGGCACAATTCTTTATTATTATTTTATATATTCTGTTTGTTTAAATTTTGCTCAAGTAATTTGCACTTCTAATCATAGCAATTTGCTGATCACGAATATTTTTACAATTTTTTAAGGACACGATAAATCTTGTCATATTTATCGTATAATATAATATGTCGTATCGGTTTATTTTGGCAATTTTATAAGCTAAAGTATGAAAGAAATGTTTTAAGAAATAGGAAACTCACTTTAGCACAATCTATAATATTAATATCTTTTTGTAATATACAGTTCTCTTCGTCACAATTTGTAATATAATTTCTTCAAAGAACGCTTGAATTTTATGGTGCAATATTAAGAGCTGGCAAGATGATTAGCACAGAGATGAGAGTGACAAAAGAAAGATGTGACGTGGATATTTTACAAGAAGTTATATAAAATTATACTTCTTCAGGAGATTGACAATTGCACGTTCGAAATTTCATCTGCAACTACATCCGCGTAGAATAACTTCTCGGCTTCCTAGGATAACGAAATGAAAAGGATAGAGCGGCGTAGTTAAAGAAGAAGGAACAAGGTGACAGTCACGATCTAGGAACGCATAGATCGTGATTTTCTGTTTCACCATTTGTCAGTTTCGTTGCTGTCTTCGTGTTCCAGCGAAGAATTCAACGTGCGCTGGAACTCGTGCACTCTTTGACTTTGTTGCTCGTGATGCAACTTTCGCCACTTTATGCGACGATTTTGGAACCAGACTTTAACTTGGGCCTCAGTCAGTCGAAGTGCGTGAGCCAAGTACAATCTTTCGGGGCCCACCATGTATTGTTGACGTGCAAATTCACCTTCCAGTCGTTCCAATTGTTCCGCTGTAAAAATTGTTCGTACCCTCTTCACTTTGCCTCCTCCACCAGAACCAGAACTCGAACTGCTGTTCTTTGTTGAGCTTTCCTGACCTGAGAAAATAGCAAGCAAACGTATAGAATAACAAGGAACATTTAATTACATCCTCTGTAACAAAAGTTAAACAATAATAAAGCTAGTAAAAAACTATACTAAAATGCAATATATGCATTTTAATATAATCTTACATTATACTGTGTCTTTTTTAATATAATTACTCGCGTGCTATGTTTCTGTATCCGAATATTATATCTCAATTTTTATTGTTCTTTTTAATGATTTACAATTAAGTAAAGATGGATAATATTTATACACCTTTTAGATAAAAACATGTAAAAATTGTTTTTAAATTATGAAATAATTTGTGCTAAATATGATAACGTGTAAACAGAGCATTCATACATTTAATAAATTTATAAATCTAAGGTGTCCTGGACACCCAACGTGAGTAATAAAAGAGTATGTAATAAGGTTAAGTTGCACATGTGCATTTGAGCATAATCCATTAAGAAATTCGCGAAGATATATTATGTAGATATCTTAGAAGATTTTACAAAAAAAATATCATACCTGTATTTGAAATAAAGAAATTTTGAATACTATTGCTTTCTTTTCGACGTTGAAAATTTAGATATTTGACACGTTCATTCTAGTAGAAACTAATAAATTTATCTGAAGTTAGTTATACGCTTTCGATTATCATACAGTACATATAATAGCACATTTCAATTGTTTCTTATTCAATTAAATAATACATATATTGCACATAGTAGTCTGTTAAAATGTTAAATGCATTTCTTGTATTTGGAGCAAAATATTATCGTTTTTTTACAAGTTTCAATTTTTTAAAATATTTTTGTTTAAAAATAATTTTATTTTGACTTTTAATTATAATTACTTTCTTAATTGCGATTCTAATTTTAATAATTAAAGCTTTGAGTTTTATATAAAAATAATATCTACTAATACTATTATAGTTTAGTAGTTAGTACTATTATAGATATAATATACTATAGAAATAATATATTATAGAAATAATATATTATAGAAATAATAATTTCTACTAATATTTATTTATTTACAATAAGTAAATTTAAATGTTTAATTTTCTTTGAAATATTTGAAACATTTTTTTCTTACATGCTTACTTTATAACATAGAATATTTTTATTATATAGTAACTAATAAATATTATGACAAATAAGTAATATCCTATAAGAATTTAATGTGCGTTATAAGGATTAATTAAATAATTCCAAAAATATACTGCTTCAACATTGCGTAAGAAGAAATTATTCAGTAATTAATTGTAATTTGAATTTCTGTGTATCTCTCGTTTTTTATTTAATGAGGCTGTACAGACGAAAAAGGTATAATTAATAACAGTCAGAATTAACAGATAAATTAACACAAATAATTAATAGAAAATATATTCTAAATACCCTGGTGTTTTCTGTATTGTTGCTGTTGATTTCGTTTTTCTCGCTGATTGTTCCTTAAGCCCAAGATCGCGTCGATGGTGAAGGACTTCGCTTGTTGCTGTTGCTGTTGTTGAGAATGTTGCATATGCGTAATCGAATGCGGATGCGGCACTTGCGTTGACAAATTTTGCGCGGATAGTTCTGTACCAAGTAGATGCGAGCGTCTCATACGCTCCAAAGCTATAGCTTCAAGATCGGGATTCCTCGGTTGTACTTGCAAGTTCCTAAATTCCTTGTGATTTAACATGCTCGAATTTTCTAGTAAATCAGCACCACCACGCAATCTTTCAATGGTCAAACTGCTAATGTGAGTATCCCTCATTCTATCTAGGGAAAAATTGAACTCTTTCATGCGATCGAGATTGTAGTTCTTGAGCAGACCGAAGTCCTTTATTTCCTTTTCTACCACGAAGTTAAGATCCTTGCTATACCTATCTAAGGAAGATAACGACGCATGGGGACTCCTTTGTTTCGTCTCGCGCAAATTAAACAGCACGTTTTTAGCGCTGGAATTTTTTGGTCTGCAAAGCGTTGCGGCATCAGTCGATTCCTCATTCTCGTTCAATCTTTCCAACGGATAATTAATTTCAGTCAAATTATTAGCGGAGTAACCGAAATCTTTGGCTTTATTTAACGTCATAGTCAAATTTCTGGTCGGGTTTTCGCATGGAAATTCATTGAATCGGAGAGACGTCCTATCGCCACCTTCAAGACTAAGATGAAAATCTTTCGGTTCCGTCGATGTATCTTCTTTAGTTTTATCAATAGACAGATTCAACTCTTTGATGCGCTCATAACTTTGAAAAGCTCTTAATTGAGATTCCGAATGGCTGCTGTCACTTATGCAATCCGATAAATCTTCCGCCGTTAGTCTACCCGACGGATCACTCGTCTCCATTTTTAAATGTTTTTGAAACTGTTATTTTACTTCAATATTTTCTTGATAATATGTTTCGATCATATAGCCACAGTTAGCATTAAACGTTTATTAATGTTTTTCGTTACTTAACACAAATGTTAATTTGAATTTGACTTCAAAGAATACAATCAAATTCGATAAAGAATCACACAAAAAAATTCGAGTTTTTTTTAGAATGTTTAGAATATGTTGCATAAACATTTATCACAAATTCTTTCTGTAGAAATGGCGGTCGATTAAATGTATCCAATTAATTTTTCTTCTTCACCATGGTCATCAATTATTCACTGTCAGAGTTATAATCAGAAATAGTAATTTATCACGTATTTTTCATTAAACAGATTGTACCATTTTTTAGTCACATTAACTTGCCATTCATAAATCTTCAAAACACACAATGTCAAAATCGAAAGTCATTAGATTATCATCACAGCAATGTTTATTATCGATTAATTATTATCCCATCATAAACAACAAATTCGCGCACTGTCACAATTTTTGCAGATTCATTGAATAACTGTAAGTTGTTCAGATTGTCAAATGGTGAATAAATTGATGAATAAATACAAACGAAACGGAAATAAAAGCAAAGAAGTGGCAAAAGTACGAGAAGAAACAGTAGCAGTATTCGGAAGACCGAACTACGAAGGCGCCTTCGACGAAGTATGATCGGACCGCGTTGGCGCTCTGCAGCATCCAAGGATAATGATGTCAAGCACGAGGATCACCGCTATCGGATAGGGTTGGCCAACGGGACCAAGGATATCCAGCTAATGATCCCGTACGTGACGAGGAGGGTATTCACCCGCCGCCTCGTAACCCTCCTTGCCCGCCCGCCATCCCTAACAATCAGTCGACCGTTATGTTTCACCTCCGCAACCCCCAAATGGACCGCAGGATACCCCCTCGTACGGTCAATATTTTTTCATTCGACGAGAGAAGGCCGGGGCGCACGTCGTCGCCGAATCCTGGTTGGTCGGATTCTGCCATCACCCCGTGTCCAGGACACGCCTACCGCGAACATCGTGGGGGTTATTTGCGGGGAGTCTGTTACTTTTTTCTACCCTCTATCTCGAGCTATCCAGCCAGCATCCACCTCCGTCGACTCACAACCCGTTCTTCCTCACCGTCGTTCTGCGAAAACCTCCTCCGTCCCACCTAGCAGGCACCCATTAATAAGCTTTCGCCTAGACCAACTAGCTTACTTGAAGATGCTGATACCGACACCAAGCTTCTCAGAAAGCCGTATCTGTGGAGACGAAGATGAGCGCGTGCGTGAACGTAGTTAGCGCCTTGCTTCGGCCGCTCGTCAGCGATGTCATCCGCGTCCAAGACCTTCCGGTAATTAGGTCCTAATGATGATGAGGTAGTTTAATTTTGTTCGGATGATCTTTCTTATCTCGTCTTGGATTGAGATAGTCTTTAACATCGAAGAGTTCACTCGCTATGGATTATTGGGAGGAATTTCGCGCAATTTATCTTACGAAATTTCGCGCTGACTCGGGGAATTCTTGAGCTAATTACACAAAGATGGTAATATTATAATGAACATAAATTAATTATAAAAAACTGTTATCAAAAGAAGATGTTTAGAATATTGTTGACATATTTTTCGAAATATTTATAGATAGAATTTTTGCACGTAAGGTATATCTACATTTATTACACGAAATAAAAATAAATCTTTGTTTTCGTAATTTATTTTTACTTATTAGAAATATAATTGATAAAAATTATGTTTAAAGATATATTATTATGAGAAACATTTACTTTCCTTTTTATAGTAAAGAATTGAATTCTAAAATATTAATGTAAAAAAAAATATATAATTTTCAAACACACACACACACACACACACACACATCAGTAAAGAGAAAAAAAATTGCTAACTATAATGCATATATTTGTCTACAGTTTTTATATAACTAAATTAAGACTAAAACAGTGACCATCGTTATTAATATATTCTAAAGATGTCGAGGTAAATAAGTCCTCCTTAATTGCTTCATGCCAATCTGAAACTTCATCCACAATCCCCTCATTAGACGTTGACGGGTACGCGGGAATTTCAGTACCTTGGAAAACCTCTAAGGAGGTTACACTCGAGGGCAAGAGCTTAATTATGTCGAGGTTTTACATCATATCGACTTCATGCACGCACAGCCTTATCTTTTTGTTAATGACAACAAATATCATCTTAATAATATACGGTGCTTTAAAGTGAAAGAGAAGAACTGATTTAACCGAATTAAAAAAATTTTATGTTAATTATATTTTTCTTGCAATCCGTCATTGTGACTAATATAGTATAGTACAAGAGAGTAAAATCTTTTTGGATATTTCATAATTACACAATATTTTTAACATGTATTTCTCTATGTGAAAACTATATTTTCACGCATATAAAAAATGTTGCAGAGTTCTACTTGTAATATCTAAATATACAATATAATGCGTGTTATTAATAAATTCACGTATTTCAACTTTTATAATGTACCCATACGCACGAATAACATCTCTAATAAAAGTTTTACGCTCGAAAAGCCATTATGAAGTTAAGATTGAGCTATAAATTTAAAATTTACACACAACTTTAAGCTATTCTCTATTTTACAAACAGTTCATAATTGCATCGTATATTTCTTATTACGTAAACTTTGCTATAAATTGCTTTACTATAAGGGATCATTGTAGCACCGATAATCTAATCCTTTTAGTTCCAAATTTTTATTTATCAAATAAAGAATCTAAATCTTCTGTGAATTGTTATATCATGCATATATATTTTTACATTTGTATATTTTAAGTTAAATTAAAAGAATTATAGAGAGAGTTAAAAGATTTTTTAATTATTTTGCTAAAATGTAAATAACTATATTTATATGTTTTTATATAAACATTTATATATATATAAAAACATATTTACATGCATAAAGAAATTTGTTGTTTAGTAACAATTTATTCATATTTTACGCAATTCATATAGTGATTTCTTTTGAAAAATAAAAATTACATATACGTAAAATTTTTAGAAAAGAAAGAACTTGTGCATCGTTAAGTTAATTTCTTCGCTGTCTTATTTTCACAATGCGTGCTAGTCTGATAATGATCAGTTTTTAGATAGTATATGTATGTGTGTGTGTGCGCGCGAGGGAAGACAGAAGCAGGGTCGAGTGAAATTGGCGACAAATGAATAAATTAAATGGTAGCTCGTACCGTAGTGGGGGTCCAAAAGAATTTCTATTGAAGCTCGATACCCACCCTCTTGATCGCCGCCCAAATGACTTGCGACTCACCCTTATTACGGCCTGAAATTTATCACGGAAATTTCGTGGAGTATTTTACCCGGATAATTGCTCCGCTTTATAAGAGCTACCCTTACGAGCCAATATTATAAGACAAAGAAGATCTCAGGCAAAACTTCTATTCACTTTAACAAAATTAGTTCGATATGCAGATAGATTAAACAAATCTTTGATAAAACAAATCAAACCAACAAGATCTTTTTAATTCTTTATTTTACAACATAGTTTCTATTAAAGTACTTTTAAAAAACATCTATATATTTTTTATGCAAATTTTGAACTGATAAGAAGATTTACAAATAAAGGGAAAAAATTATCCATTTATTTATATTATGCGATAGATAAACTGATTGATTTCAGAAATATTCAAATTAAAGAATTAAAATCAAGGAGTCCAATTAAACACAGTTGATATTGTATAAGCAATGTACAAATCCAATCGATTTTACATTGCATTAATGATTTCAAAAATCACATTGTACATTCTTAAATGTCATTATTCTAGTCATGACTAAATTTGACTGTCGCATCCATGAATCTATAAAATTAACGATGTTTGCATCAATCATTGATCGGTTCAATAAATCTACCAACTGCGGAAACTAACCGAATTTACAATACCTGCTGATCGTGGCATGGAGAGGATCATTAACTAACTAAATATCAATTTCGATGGTAAATAGTAGCCACGCTATCTATTGTTCTCAAATTGAATCCGTATCAAGAATGATCTGCAACCATGCAATCGCTGCCGCACAGGCGTGGACGCACGTATAAAATTCACGAGCGCATAATGCCATACGCATCCCCTTTCCATCCTTCCACCCTGAACAGCCCAGGAACGTAGGTATTGCGATCGACACATACAAAGCAGTCTCTCCCTTCCTGGACTCTACAGCATTCTGTTGCCTTACAACCAACGCTACTATCCTCCCTGGTCCCTCTTCACCGCCTTGGTTACCCTTGCTGCCTCCTCCTCTACCTCCTCCTCATCTTCCTCCTCTGGCTTTCATTCCACATGCGATATTAAAGCCAAGGCAATTAGCGGTGGGGGTTGTTGCGAGGGACGGCGAGGGAGTGCGACAGTTTCAGCCGGGTTTCGTAGTCATCCGCCTGGTGGGGCTGTCTCGGATATGATTGGCTGTCAGCAGGGGTTAATCCCTGGGCCCGGCCACACCCCGGCATGTCTCAATCCACCCCCATGAATCCGACCGACCGAGCTTTCCGCCCGGAATCCACTGAAAACGAGGGTGAAAACGCAAGCGGCAAGGATATACCGGATGTTTCCAGAGCGCGAGATGGGTCAAACTCCTTAAGCGTGAAGGAGATAATTTCGGACAGATGATAGCGTCATCGAGCAAGAAAGACGGTAAGCGTGTGCTCGTTTTTAATGATGTAGTAGTTAACGTTTCATTACGTGGATGAAAATTATGCGCTGGTTTACGAAGAACAGCGTGAGAGGACAATGAGAGAATTGTTCGTTCTAAACATATTTAGAAACGTGAATAGATCAATAATTAGACATCTCAAAATTATTTGAATGACTAATTATTATAATTCTCACACATAATGCGCTTTATATGAAATATAAAATATGAAAAGTTTACATATTCTTAAAAATGAAATTTTTATTGAAATAATATTGGTAACGATTATCTGGCATCCAAATAAAAA